TTTGATATTAAAAATCCCATTTCAGTCCTTGCAAATGACACCGAGCTGTGCAGTGGAATAACATCCTTACAGGATGTCTCCAACTTACAAGCCGACCTCAATGCTCTGTTTAATTGGGCAACTATGTGGCAAATGAGGTTTAATGTTGATAAATGTAAGGTTCTGCACTTGGGGGCTAAAAATATGCATGCATTATGCATACTAGGGGGGTATAACTGGGGGAATCAATGGTGGAGAAGGATCTGGGAGTTTACCCGTGTAAAAATCATTAGTAAGACCTCATCTGGAATATGCAGTTCAGTTTTGGGCACCGATTCACAAAAAGAACATTAAGGAACTGGAGAAAGTACAGAGAAGGGAAACTAAACTGATAAGAGGCATGGAGGAGATCAGCTATGAGGAAAGATTAGAGGGACTGAATTTATTCTCTCTTGATAAGAGGAGATTAAGGGGGATATGATCTCCATGTATAAATACATCAGTGGTTCATATAGTGAACTCGGTGTAGAGCTATTCACCCTGAGGTCATCACAGAGGACAAGGGGGCACTCTTTACATCTGGAGGAAAAAAAATGTAATCTCCAAACACGGAAAGGTTTCTTCACAGTGAGAGCTGTGAAAATGTGGACTAGACTCCCTCAAGAGTTGGTTTTGGCCAGCTCAGTGGATTGCTTCAAAAAAGGCCTGGATTGTTTCTTAGATACAGAGAATATAACTGGATACTAACATTTATCGGTAAAGTTGATTCTGTGAATATCCGATTGCCTCTCGGGGGATCAGGAAGGAATTGTTTTTACCATCAGGAGCAAACTGGTTCACACTTTGCTGGGTTTTTTTGCCTTCCTCTGGATCAACTGTGGGTATAGGATTATAACTTTTTTTTTTCTCTGGTTGAACTAGATGGACTTTTGTCTTTTTTCAGCCAGACTAACTATGTAACTATACATGATTGTGAAGGTTATCATATATCTCGGTCATGGCATACAGTATCTAGTAGTAGTTAGTCACATTCATCTGGACTTGTTCTGTAATGTTGAAGACATTTCATACCTTCTCCAAGCCACTTATTCAGTTCCAGTGAGTGTCAGGAAGATATCCCAGTATTTATATCAACACAGGTAGTAGAGACAGTTGAATCTAGTCGCCATGGAATGTGGAGATGTTGATTGTCCAAAAACAGGATAGGAGGTCTGCAAACTGTGGAACCACTCTGATCCAGTTACATAGTTCCAGCCTTGGTATCAGAACATCTGCATATGTGTTTGACATACATGCCTAAAGGTGTGATTTGTCAAATCATTGGAGTAGAGATAGTAAAACAGCATTATGTGTGTAAGACAGATGTGTTGAAGACCTCCACCCCTGTTAGTGGTGGTTGTTCCAGTTAAATGTAGATGGCCTCTTGTGAAACAACCATCCTCTCTGTTGAAAATGTGCACCTCATTATCATCAAATGAATGTCCCCTTTTCTGAAGGTAGCTACCTCCTTTCAGTTTAGCTCTACTTTGAAGGATGGCATTTTCAGGAAAGATAGGTTGCCCACCATGTTTCCACATGACAGGTTTCCCCCTTGGACTCCTGTCCTACATCTACAAGTTGTCCAACACCTTCCATTGGCTGCGTACACATAAAATATAAACCTGAAGGCAGCGCAAGTCTGTTCTTCAGGCGTCATACAATACAGAAAAATGACATTTCAATAAGGTTGAAAAATTGTCATCATTTTCATAAACGTGTAAATCATATTCCTGCACAGGTTCTAACAAGTCTCACAGAGTTTAGACTCATCTGCTAAAAAAACAGAAAACTAATACAATTAACACCTTGCTGTGAGGCGACAATCATCTGAAGGCATAGCTGTTGTGAAATCTTACAATTTTAAAGTGGAATTCCAGTTAAAAATCAAATTCTGCTCTTGCTTAGTATGTATACCAACTAAAACTTTTTAGTTATGCATTATCCTAATTGCTGATTGTCTAGATTAGAAACAACAGTCTAATCTGGACAATCAGCAATCTCCTGAGCTTTACTGACAATGGTGTGCCTATGCAGCTGAATGTGGCTGCTCACAGGCACTTCCCGCTGTTGGTGTCTGTGCAATCACTGCAGTGCAGCACTGATTGGCCCCACCCCTGTCCTGTCCAGCCACGCCCCCGTCCCTTCCGGACAAGCAAGGTACGTCACTTCCAGAAATTACACCACTGAGAGCCAGTAGACTCACCTGAAAAAAGTGATAGGTTTAGTGATCACATGACAGGAGCAATTTTAAAGAAAAAACGGCAGAAATATATACTTTTACAATTTTAAACGTAACGCTGTAATATTATTGGGGCACATGATTTCAGGAAGGTGAATTAAAAGTAACCTTTTCCTTCCAATTAAATAAAGTAAGCTAAAGAAGGGTATTACTGCACCAAGCATTAGTAAGACATCATTTAGAGTATGCAGTTCAGTTTTGGGCACCAGTCCATAACAAAAAAATATCAGAACTAGAGAAAAACAGAGAAGGGCAACCAAACTGATTAGAGGCATGGGGGTGCTCAGCTATGAGGAAAAATTAGAGCTGATTTTTTTTTCTTTGCCTTCCTTTGGATCAACTATGGGTATAGAAATCTGTAAATAGAGGATTTTGTATGTATTTATTTTGTTTTGTTTTTTTGTCTGTTGATCTGTGGCTCAGGTACACAGATTTCACCCCTAAAGTCCCTGAGAAACCTTTATTTTACCCTCTTTCATCTACTGATATCTGAAACAGTTTGGGTTGGCTGACCTTTTAAAGTATGTCTAAACTCTAAATGTTTTTTTTTTTTAGTTTGGATTGAGTAGAAAAGGGCTAAAACTGCTGTCTGTTTCTTTGTTATCTGTGTCCTATTAGTTACATTTCTCTTCACTTCCTATTCTGTACATACAACAGGAAGTGAGATTCAGACTTTCCAAAGTGACGGAAATTCCTTTTTAGACAGCGGTAGCTCAAACAGGTATCCCCTTTGGAAGATTTCCCTTCTATTCTGGTGATAACTCAACATTTTGGATTTTCCCATCCCATTCAGTCCCAGTGAAATGGTCACCAGGATAAATCCAAAGGGTGAGTAACGAAGACACACACAGAAATTTAAAAAAAATCTGCCCAGGTTTCTATTCCTTCTCTATTCTATGCATACTAATAAGTTTGGGCTTTCTATGCACTTTAATATCTTTGCAAAATCATTTAGCCAATATACTTTCTTCATTTGGCCTCCAGTGCCGAGATAGCAGTGGGTTAAACCCAAGAACTGTACAGCATTGTGCTTAATGTGAACCTGTGTGGGAAAAAATGATAAAGCCCTAATGATCCTTAATACCAGAAACTTTCAGTGTCCCACCCACTGGCTCCAATCTCATGTATGGCCAGCCCCCCCAGAACGCAAGATGCTTTTTAATACATTTACTGACCAGCATCCGGTTACTCCTTTGTTCCACCCTTCCTGCATGTTCCTGCATTCTGCATACTAGATGGAGAAGCTGCTAATCACATGATGGGGCAACAGTGGTGTAAATAAGCAAGTGGAGCAAAAGTATCAATCAAACCAATGATTACAAAAATATCTGGTTCTTAAATTTTTATTTATTTTCCATATATATTGCACATTTCATCATTGTTCTCATACAAATTTGCATATCTTTAATAACATTTCTAGCTATCTTTATTCCCAATTACCACCCCCCCTCTATTTAATTTCCCCCCACCCAAAGAAAAAAAAAAAAACCTCCCTCCCCCAATATAAACCCACCCACTCTGCATAATTCTATTATCCCTCTTCATACGCGAATATAGGGTATGTAAATCCTTCTATCTTTCTCACATAGTTACTTCATATATTTCACCATGAATTCTTCCCATGTTCTCCACCTCTTATAGAACAACCCCATCCTGTCTTCCTGCATATAGCACAGTCTCTCCATCTTATAAATTTGATTAGTTCTTTCCACCCAATCCTCTATCTTCGGCACCTCTGGTCTATGCCAAAACTTAGGTATCAACCCCTTCGCCGCATTTAGATAGCACCATATACCCGAAACCTTGTAGTTATTTACTGATAACTCTGTACTATGTAGAAGGCATACTGCTGGGTTCAGTCCTATCTTTATCCCGGAGATATTCTCAATTAATTGAACAATTATCTCCCAGAAACCTTGAATTTTTGGGCACTCCCACCATATGTGATATAAGGTGCCTATTTTTCCACATCCCCTCCAGCACTCTAGTGAATTTTCCCCACATATCTTATACTCAACGTTCGGTGTAATGTGCCATCTCGTTAAACACTTGTAATTTACCTCTACTTCTCTCATACTTATATTCCCGTGTATTAATCTGTATATTTTTTCTTTGCTTATCCTCATCAATCTCTATTCCCAAATCTCTTTCCCATTTACCTATATACATTGGTTTTGTGTAAGTGTCTAACTCAGTGAGGATTTTATAAATTTTTGCAGTGCCTCGCCTCCCGTCACCTCGTGTTTCTAACAACCTCTCAAACACGTTCCAATCCTCTCTCGATCTCAACGGTTTTGGGAGGTTTCTGACAAAGTGTTTTAATTGATAATATTTCCATTCATCTAACAAAAATATCTGGTTCTTGAACTGTCTGGGTGCGCTGCAGGAGACTGTATCCAGCATGCAGGAACTTTGAGATGCCCATTATCCAGGATAGGTAAGGCTTTATGCCTTTAGCTATGCAGGCTTTCTTTAAAGAATAAGTAAACATTGTTTTTACAAATTAAGCCCTGCAGTAGGTTGCTGATATGCTGCCAAACAATATAAATAAATAGGTACTTATTGTTAGTGGCTATAGCTACATAATCTAAAATACAGATAATCCTTCTCAACCTTTTTTAACATGAAGGAGCCCTTGAAATAACTTTCATGTCTCAAGGAATCCATGTCTAAAATTACAATCTACAGCTCACAGTACATTAGTCTGGTGGTCAATGGGAAGATGCCCCTTACATTAGAGGTCAATGGGAAGAATGTCCCTTACATTGGTGGTCAGTGGGAAGAATGTCCCTTACATTGGTGGTCAGTGGGAACAATGCTTATTACATTGATAAGTTGGAAGAATGCCCCTTACATTAGTAGTCAGTGGGAAGAACATCCCTTACATTGGTTGTCAGAGGGAAACGTGTCCCTTACATTGGTGGTCAGTGGGAAGAATGTCTCTAACATTAATGATCAATGGGAAGAATGTCCCTTACAGTGGTGGTAAGCGGGAACAATGCTTCTTACATTGGTGATAAGTTGGAAGAATGCCCCTTACATTAGTGGTCAGTGGGAAGAACATCCCTTACATTGGTTGTCAGAGGGAAGAGTGTCCCTTACATTGGTGGTCAGTGGGAAGAACGTCCCTTACATTGGTGGACAGAGGGAAGAATGTCCCTTAAATTGGTTGTCAGTGGGAAGAACGACCCTTACATTGGTGGTCAGTGGGAAGAATATCCCTTATTTGGATGGTCAATGGGAAGAATGTCCCTTACATTGATGGTCAGTGGAAAAAACGTCCCTTATATTGGTGGTCAGTGTGAAGAATGCCCCTTACATCGATGCTCATTGGAAAGAATGCTTATTACTATGGTCGTCAGTGGAAGAATGCTCCACTGGTGTCAGTGGTTACACAGCTGAGAGGCGAAAGCTGTTTATTGCTTAAAGTGGTAATAAAGTCTGATTTTTTACTTGTACCTACAGGTATGCCTATAATAAGGCTTATCTTTAGGTATTGTAAATACCTCCTAAACATACACTGTTTATGAGATATTTACCTGTGTAGAGCACCGGAGCATGCACTCTGAAGGAACAGCATGTGGTCTGTAGGAACAGCATGTCCGTTCCATTCCTTCAGAGCTGAGTGCCATGAAAAGTCACTCTTATGTGCATGCGCGGGAGTGATGTCATCACAGCTCAGCCATTCAAGCTGCTGGAGCCCGCGAACCCGAAAGAAGGACCGAATGAAGATGGAAGCCCTGTCAGTGGTGACAGCGTGCCCCTGGAAGGCTTTCTTTTTAAGGTAAGTTTCCCATAATATGCTAAGCGATGCATGCTAGCACATTATGCCTTTGTCTTGCAGGGGAAAACTTTTTTCCCCCCTAGAGTTTACTACCACTTTAAAGAAACCCCTTGCAATCTCTAGGGAAAAAAATAGGGTTCCATGGAATCCTAGTTGAGAAAGTGTGCTATAGATTGTTGGGCCACTTCTGTAAATAAAGGTACACTGACCCTTTAGGACTTAGTATTTTTGTCTGAGAAATGTCAGCTGCTGCACTTGACAGTGCTGATTTCAATTTCCAGTACAGCACTGGAGAAATTGGCAGTATATTGTTAAAGAAACCTTTCGAATCTGTCTGAAACTTCTTTTTCATGTCTGTTGCAGCAAAGTCCACAACAAACTAGACAGTCTACCCTGAAAGCAAACTCTGAGGGTCCATTTTGCATTTTAACATACGCCTTGCAATGCGCTAAAATAATAAAAACTGTGCCTCTTCCTATTATTTCTAATTCATGTGAACATTCCTATAAAAATTCTTTGTACATTTGATGACAGGAGGAATGTCATTCAAAAGCACCTTAAAATTTTGTTTGCTTTTAACATTTGAGTTTGGAACTAATGGAATTCCCTGAACAAAAACCACATACACTGTGAGAAATTAGTTCATTCAAAAAAAATTTCCATCTTGCTCCTTCAAATTTTTCACTATGGTCGAAAATGGACACAGATTTGACCCCACTAATGATCAAACAAACGCTCTTAAAATGATACATTTTAAATTAAATTCTACTAGTGTATAGACAGTTTTAGTGTGTACAGTGGAGGTCCGTAGAAATGAAAGGCCATCAAAACGCATGTAATATGGGTTTTGGTGCATTGGCAACAAGTGTTAACTATGCTTGGCTATCCGCTCCATGTCCTAAAATAAAAAATGCATTGAAAACGTGCATAAATGCACATTAGTAAGGTATGTCATGTCACACATAAAGGCTGGCTTAGGTTGGCTCAAGGCAACACACTTGTCTAACACTACATATGCACCTCTGCGTACACCCTATATCTAAATGGGCCCTAAAAGATCTTAGTAGTTTAAGTAGTACTAACTCTCTAAATTGTCCGAGGGAACAATAGAACCTACAGATCTGCAGTGACAGGTTACAGTGACCCTAAAATGATCACTTGTTCCATTATGGCCTGAACAGATATCTCTCATATTAGAGAGTTGGAGAAGAGCCATACAAGGGTCATTTATCAGCAAACAAGGTTCTTTGCAAATAACCTGCCCATGCATGGGTGTCAAGGATATCAAGGAAGAGCTGGGTAGAGGTGCCATCGGGAATGGGTGACCTATACTAGGGGTCTACAAACTTTCTATAAAAAGGGCCAAGTTACTGTCCTTTAGGCTTTAGGTGGGCCGGACTGTGACCAGAAGGAATAGCAAATTTATTTCTGGCATCAGTGGAAGTAAACAATGTCCCATCTTTGGTATTAGGGGGATAAACAGTTCCCCATTGTTGGTGTCAGTGGGAGAAATAGTGCCCCATTGTTGATGTCAGTGGGAGGAAATTATGCCTCATTGTTGGTGTCAGCCTTATTGTTGGTGTCTTGGTTGAATAATACCCTGAGGGCTGGATAAAGGCAAGCAAAGCCTGCAACTTCCCCCGGGTCACAGTTTGGAGACCACTGACCTTTACCATATAGCAGCCAGAGAACTATAAATTGCAGTACACCCTGTTGGACTTTGGCGGGAAGAGAACGCTGGGACTTGTAGCTCCTCGGCAGTTGGAAAGTCGTAGATTGCTGAGCCTGTAAGATAAGACAGCTGGGAGTTTCTGGAGTAATAGCTGGGTATAGGTGGCAGCAGTAATAGGTTACCTATATCATCTAGATGGCGGTGGAACAACAAATTTCAGTCCACCCTGTTGGAATTTGTCTAGAAGAGAATGCCAAGACTCGTAGCTCCTCGGCAGCTGGAAAGTCGTAGTTTGCTGAGCCTGTAGGAAAAGAGGAGCTGGGAGTTTCTGGAGTAACAGCTGGGTATTTGTGCCATCTGTAATGGGTAACCTGTACCATCTAGCTGCAGGGTAACCACAAATTGCAATCTAACCTGTTGGCCTTTTCTGAAAGAGAACACCAGGACTTGTAGATCCTCGGCAGCTGGAAAGTCATAGATTGCCCAGTCTGTAGGAGAAGAGAGCTGTGAGTTTCTGGATTAACTGCTGGGTATAGTTGCCATCAGGAATAGGTGATCTTTATCATTTACATGGCGGTGGAGCTAAAAATTCCAGTCTACCCTGTTGGATTTTGGCTGGAAAAGAATGCCGAGACTTGTAGCTCCTCGGCAGCTGGAAAGCCGTAGATTGCTGAGCCTGTAGGAGAAGAGAGCTGGGAGTTTCTGGAGTAACTGCTGGGTATAGGTACTTCAGGAACAGGTGACCTATATCATCTAGCTGGTGGTGGGACTATAAATTCCAGTCTACTCTGTTGGATTTTGGCTGGAAGAGAACACCGAGACTTATAGCTCCTCAGCAGCTGGAAAGCCGTAGATTGTCCAGTCTGTAGGAGAAGAGAGCTGGGAGTTTCTGGAGTACACAGAAAGAAGTAAACAGAACCATCTGCAGACTCGAGGAGCGGCTAGGAACGCAGGCCAGACTCTGTTGGCAGATGTTGTTAATGTAGTGAAACACCTGCTCAACCAGCAGCTGATTCTCAGCACATTCATCATACTGGCCCTTTGTTTTTCTTGCAGGGCACAGACACGAGGGTCACCCACAGTGACTTCATTATTTCCCAGAAATCCCTCTAGTCAGCTACGAACAATTAAAACAAAATTCACCGCAGGTTGTTTTCTGGGATACAAATGAAACATGAACTCAATTTCAAAGGAAAATCAGGATATTGTTATAAAATGATAGGCAGTGAAAATGGCTAAATATTAAAAATGAACAATTTTACAGTCTCTGATTCAACTAAAAACAGCCTATGGGCATGTCCAGCGCCTGCAATGCTGAAACTAAGGGGTCTGTTGACAAAAAATGTCTCAGCAACAATTGCAAATAATCCCCACAATGTATCCAATATGTTTATTTTCTGTGATCTTCAGCTCCATCTACTGGCCATGATGCGGTAATATTCTGAAATGTCTCAATCAGGAAAATATGGCATTGCGGCCCATTAGATGGAGCTAATGATCATAGGAAAAAACATATCAGACACATTACAGGATTATTCATGACGGCAAGTGAATGCTGGGACATTTGCACATCAATTTTTTTTATAAATAGATCCCATTGTGTCTGTCCTTGCCTATGTCACTGCATTCAGTGGACTGGCAGCACAGATTACAGAGTGTAGCACAGAGCATGCTATTAAGTCCTTGTTCACACCTCTGCAATTAGTTGCGATTCAGTCATCAAGCATTAATTCATGACAAGAGGATTATCATTCTTTTCTATGGAGCCCGTTCAGACTTCAATGGCAACACACAAAAAAATGCATATAACATGCATTTCCATGCATTTTAGCACTTGACTGCAAATTCCTATCTCCTAGCACTCTGTAGTCTATTTTACTCTTATTGCGTGAAAAAAAAATAAACAAAGAAAATACACAAAAATGAATGTTAATACCTGCATCAAAAACAGACAAAAAATTGCAGGAAAATGCAGAAACAAAATCCTAAGCAGGGCCTTTATGTATACGGGACTGTTATGTAGAGTTCAATGTTAGCGGACCTAAAATGCATGTACAGTGCACCTAAAACCGCACTGCACATTTTTGGCCTGATAGACTGGGAGTGCATTAAAAATGCAGCACAAAAAAGCACAAACAGCACATGAAAACATGCAGAGGCACAAGTTTGAACCTAACTGTGTACATTTTAGGAGAAGGGCTTTTTTTCTTGGTTCAGATCTGCTGAGTGATTATAGGATTCAAGAATGAAGGCCGGGACTGCCACTATCTGCTAGTGAGCTCTGGTCTCTGGAAAAGCTGCGAATGCAAATCCTGGAGCTCAGTGATGCCAATTTCTAACAAAGCAGGAATATAGTACACAGGGCAAAGAAACAACAAATAGTTTAATGATGACATCAGCTTGGTGCCCTTTCTATGTCTTCTAAGCTTTGGGCAGTTAAACCCTACTGCCTACTATATAAAAGAAAACATCTTCAAAAATATATGCTGCCATTACTTCTGAAAATGCTACTTGCCTAGCTTTTGTCCTGATCCATTGTTTTTATGTATCAGTTTCTGACCACAAACTTGGAAAAAGTATGCAGTTATAAAGATTTAACTTCTCCCTCTACATACCGTAAAAACTGTTTTTTAGGGCCCAAGTGGATGTATTGAGCTAAAAGACTTGCTTACACATTCATATGGCATTTTAGACTGATAGCAATGTTCACTGAAAGAATCGACAGACAAATCTATCTCTCAGCCAATCAAATTTTTCATAAGTGCAGCCAGTATTGCATTCATAGAAATGTTCTCTCCTCCTATTGAAAGCAGCTGGACTGAATGAGCATTCTCTATCTCTGTAGGCTCCTATGGAAAACCTT